CTTACATGTCCCTGGAGGGGACATTTTGACCAAATCCCCGGGGTTTCCACAATTTTCGCGCGCTTCTTTCAGCGCGCGCGCGCCGGATCCCACACAGAGCTAGTGGAAATTATGGAAACACCCCAAGAATACGCGTCAATCTTGGTCGCGAGGTCTAGTGTATGGTGTAGGAAATAGTATGACTTCACAAAAGCCTACAGATGAAGAGGATTTTATGGGTTTTAGAATGCGGCACGACAGTCTATTCAATGAAGAGTATATTGGTTTTACTATGGACACACTAAATCCTATACAATAGACTGCTGCAAGCGTGCCGCCTAAACCCATTATATTGCGTGTCAATCTTGGTCCAGGGGGGGGGGGTGTTCCACGGTTTCCACATGGAGGGACCCTTGTTTTGTTGTTGTTCTCCCGAGTTTTTTTGCTGTTCTTCAAGTTTTTCAAGGTACTCTTCTCACGGCCAATCTCAACACGAGCCTTATCCACTGTACAAGGATGAAAAAAAGTAGTTCTTCCGTCACCCATCACACCTTCCAAGTGTTGTATCACTCAGCTGCTGCAACGGTCCACCTACTAGGTATTGCCGCACAGCAGCGACAGTTATTTTTCTGGCACAAACGTCAGCACATGGATCGTGCGCTCCCTTTGCTCTCGCGTGCTACTCACAGCTTGCCAACACCTTCATGGATCAACCGAGTTCTTGCTGGGTATGGCTGGGAACAACGACAGACAAAGGCGGTCACCACACAGAACCAAAACAGCAAAATGATCTCAAGAGCCTTCGCACACCCAACAGCTTCGTTTTCATCGAGAGCGAAATTCTCAACCAAGACAAACAACAACTAAATAGAGAGCCCCGCCACACATTTATATTACGCAAACGACTACTACTACCAGTGCTACCGCTGCCGCGAGGCAACCGTCATCCACAACAACAGAAAATAACCCCCAACACACGTCTTCTTGCCACGCTCGCTAGGCCTCGCTCAGGAATCTGGCACAAGGAAGAAACGTACGCAACACGACCGACGGACATCGAATCGACAACTACATGCATCTACGTTCCGCGCGTTTTCGTACCAAGACGTTCACTCCCAATCCCGCCCTGCTGTCTTGTGTGCACGTGCGCGCAAGCCTGACTCTCGTTCCTCCGCCCCCCATCCCCGTATGCTACCGTATTTACATTCCTGGAAAGCATGAGGCGGCAAACCTAGCATCAAGAGCCCCAACTACAGCGCCGTTTCCCGGCACGGCGCATGGTAACAAGCTGCTAGACAGGAACCAAAAACTCTCTACTTGTTACAAGTATTTAGTTCAGATAGGTCTTCCCCAATGTGGTCGCCAACTATTCCAGTACCTTAAGCTGCTGTGCTTCGGAATGCACTCCATGCTGCAAACGCCCCGCCCCCCGCCCCTACTCGTGCATGTGATGACAAGATGACTGCTACATCATCCTCGACGCCGGTAAAAAAACACCGCCCGTTTCTAGTCGTGGTCAATCACGGTCCGCATGATAGCACCTTGTGCAGCTTGTCCCCCGCAAGACCCCCTGTCCGTACGCAAAGCACTCCACAAGCTGGCAGTTCCTTCGTCTTTGCACCCGCAGGCTTTTCGGGGTCCGCGTGTGAGGGACACCGACCAACCACGTCAAAAAAGAAGTCCAACAAAAAGAAAAAACAAAACAAAACGCGCAAAAGTCACAACTAGTAAGACTTATTTTTTGTGTGGGAGACACCAAACCACCCACGACACACAGCAGTCGAATGCAAAAAAACTAACAAAGCGCGGGCGTCACAGGCAGGTCAGGTCATAATCTAGCAGGTTGCGACAGCGGCGGCAACGGCGGCGGCGGCGGCGGCGGCAGCAGCAGCAGCTTGCATAATCGTCAGCGACGACTAGGAGCGGCATCCACTCTCGCCACACCCCCGACCACACAAAAGGTCGCGAAAAACACAAGCGACCGCAGATAGATCGCAGACCGCAGACCGCGGGCAGCAGCATCAAAAGAAGATACCGTCGGAGGTGGCCGTGAACAGCCCGGCGATCTCTCTCCCCACCCCATCCGCCGCGAAGGCTGCCCCCGACAGCGTGGACAGCACTCGCGCCGCCTCCTTGCGCTTGTCGCCGGACCCCTCCCCGTCCGCGCCGCCGCCGCCGCCGCTGCTGGCGTTCGCTCCCGCCGCGCCTGCCCCCCCGACCTTCCCCGACTTGGGTGGCTTCCCCCCCGTCTTGGGCATGCCGTACATGCCATCGAGGGCCTTCTCGAGGAAACCCTCGGCCTCCTTGCGGTCGCAGTTGTTGCGCGTGAACGCCTGTGTGTTGGTTGTTAGACGGGGGGCAACGGATGGATGAATGAGTTCGGCGGACGACAAGATACCGCAAAGAGGCGAGAGATAAACATACATGGGGGGTGTTGTTGCTATTATGCCAGCCGCGCAAGACGCCTCCCGCAGGAAGTAATTTCGCAATACATGTAGTCGATTCGCGGAACGCGGCTTCTCCAGAGCCCTCGTTTGTTGAGAGTTTCCTTCGTCATGTATCGGTTGCTAGGCAGAGAAGACACGCGCAAACGCGCATCGCTGTGGGGAATAGGTGGCACGAATTAACCTGCGTGTTTCCCAAGGGGTGATCAAGGCCGTATCACCACACAGATAGCGACTTGCAACTGACGGCTGAGAACACAAACAACGTATGCAAGCATGTTTTCACCAAAACAGGGTGCTTCGTACGTGTGCACACCCCCATCCTATTGACACTGAGGCGGAGCACGGGAGTCAGGCCTTGTCCAGGTGTGGCAAAAGGCAAAGGTCGGAATCGCAGGTTTCTGGCATGACGCTAGATAAAGAAGACGCACTGCGCGTTGCGACGTGCTACCCCGTACGCGTGATGGCTCGCACGGCTGGATAACTGACGCTCATGTAACACAGAATAAAGAAAACAACACAACCAGATGGACAAGAATCGGCCCAGCAAAACTACGGTATGCCAGTACAAGCGATGCCGCGGTGCTTCACATCGGCTCCTATCTGTATCCTGACATGCCTCACCTCTGATACCGTTAGCGTTGGCAGCGCTAGCGCCTCCACGACCATGTCCGCCATGTCTTCGATGAAAGCCGGGTCCGTGTTGAGCGCCGGTACCCTACACCCGAAAGACGATGGCAGGGTGACACACAAGGCAGCAGGACATGATGAGCCAACGGCGGAAAAAACATTACAAGTCGGAAAACTGTTTTTGTAGAGAGCCATTTCGTCATCTCGGCGAGGGAGCAACGCTCGGAGACAGAAATGGCCCACGGTCGACACACGCGCGCCTGCAGTTGAAACACACACACAAATCAGCAACACGTTTCAAGCTCAGGAAACAACAGGTACAGCCAGGGTTCTCTCATCAAGCCCCCCCACCTCCCCTCTCTCCGTCCTCTCGAGGACACGTGATCAGCGTACTTCACAGCAAAGGCACGCACAACATGAGTACGCCCCCCCCACACACATACCCCTGTCTCTCTCACCGTCGCCAGTTAGTGATGCCGGCCTCCTCCGCCACCTCTCTGTACTCCATGTCGATCTCCTCCAGGGTCTCGATGTGCTCCGACACGAACGACACAGGCACAACCACCAGGTTCTTGCACCCGTTGTCCGCCAGCTCATGGATCTTGGCGTCCGTGTACGGCTGCAGCCACTCCACGGGCCCCACCCTTGACTGGTAGCTAAGGTGGTACGTCACCCCGCCCGCGGCCGCGCCGGAGCTGCCGGGCTTGGCGCCGGGGCCGCCCTCCGCGTTGATCCCATCCACCTTCTCCGAGATGAGCTTGACGCAGGACTCGATCTGCGCCTTGTACGGGTCGCCCGCGTCGATGTACGACTTGGGCACGCCGTGTGCAGAGAAGAGCACCTGTGGACGGGGGGGGGGGGGGGGGGGGGGGGTCCCCCCAACGGGAAAAAACACCCCTGGGATCAGCCTCCAAAATCCCCCCAAAAACAAGGGGAAAACCCTGTCTAAGGGATGCCCT